CCCCCCTCCTCCCCCCCCCCCCGGGAGCCATCTTTCTGCCTGCCAGTCTACCTGTGGCCGCCCCCGGCTTGAGCACAGGCGGCTCTCCCCGTCATCATCACCACGGCACCCGTACAGTGGTGTCCATACAGTGGAGGCTGGTGTGAACTGGATCGAATCAGGATCGTGTACCTCTGCAGGCTCAGCAGCAAGTGACCCACCAGAGCCCTCCCGTGCTAGGCACAGGATGATCTCGGCCACCCCCTGTGGCTCACTGTGGACTCAGGGAACCCTGACTGGCATCATCTCACTGGGTGACCAGAGCGTCCCGGGGACAGCCTGCTTCCCCTTTAAGTCTGGCTTCAGATTCTGAACCTGGCTACCTGCAGGGCCCTTTGTGAGACGGGTCCCTGTGTCTGAGTCACTCTCTCCATAACAGAACTCTGTGATGAGTTCTGACAGCAGGTGGGGAGTGGGCTCCAAACGTCATCTCATCCATGCCTGGCACCCCGCAGGGTCGCCTCTCCAAGCTTCAGGTCACAACTTACTTATTAAAACCATTTCTGCAGCCTGAGCTTTTGTGAACAGGTGCAGATTTGTGTGTTTCACTGCACTTTGCATTCATGTTCATGGTTTCTTTATTGCTAAGCATTTAAAATTCACTTACTCAACAAACTTTTCTCGGTCCTTACTGTGTTCGGGTATGTGCCACGAAGAAGACGTGTAAAGCCACTGCTCTTGTGGATAGGGGCTGGGCAGCAGGCAGGTACCAAGGAAATGCACACGATCATTTCAGAGAATGAGAAGCTCTAGGAAAGAAGAAACCATCTGCTAATGTGATCAAAAAATGACTTGGATTTTTGGCTCCATAGCACAGTGGTTATGTGTTGTTCAAGAGAAGCCTGGGGACCAGTAGATGGCTAACAGCTCCATGGTTGGACTCCCACATAGTTGGCCGTGGTTCAAGTCCCAGACCCAGTGACTTAAAACTCACACTGGGCACATGTGCCTGTGTGCCCAGGATCCCAAGACGAGAATGGAGGAGAAGGGATTGCGGTGTGGCCATCTCCCATGGGGGTGATTTCTCTGTCTCTCTATGTGTGGGCATGGCCGGGTACGAGGATGGAGGGTAATTTAAAAAGCAATTAGAGGACTTATTTGGTCCTGGAAAAATTGTTTCTGAAATTAATATGGAGTACACCAGTGGTCACATTCACAAATGATGGAAATGACCCAAGTGTCCACACACGCCCAATAGCAAAAATCTCTCTCTAAAAAAATAAATTGAAATAAAAAAAATAAAGAGACGCCTGATTGCACATGGTGTCTGCAGTTTGAATCCCGGGCCTAGTCAGCCCGAAGCACACTGGACACACCTGTCAGTACCCAAGGTCCAGTGGGCTGAAGGGCTGGAGGAAGGGGATCACAGTGTGACCAGACCCTGTTAGAGTGCTTTTCTCTCTCTCTCACTCCTTAACTTATTAAAAATTAAAAAAAAATATTTTGAAAATGATTTGGGGGACCAGCAGTTAGCGTAATGGCTATGTCGCTGGACTTCCATGTAGCTGACCATGGTTCACGTCTGGGACCCGGTGGCTTAAACTCATGCTGGGCACGTGTGCGTGTGTGCTCAGGATCCCGAGAGGAGAGTGGAGGAGAAGGGATTGCGGTGTGGCCATCTCCCCTGGGGGGTGATTTCTTGCTTTCTATCTCTCTATGTCTGTCTTTCTGATGCGCATGTGTCAAAAAACAAAAAACTCTCAAAAAAAAAAAAAAAAAAAAAAAAAGAAAAGAAAAAAGAAAAAAAGAAACTGATTTGGGAATAGGTGGAGAATATTTTAAATTTTGATGTAAAACATCTCCTCTGCCTTGACTTTATGGACAGTTGTTAAAGATAAGAGGAGGGGCCAGCAGATAGCGTGGTGGCTACATTGTTGGACTCCCACATGGTTCACTGTGATTCGAGTCCTGGACCCGGTAGCTTGAGAATCACTCCAGGAGCATGTATGTGCGTGCCCAAAATCCCAGGAGGAGTATGGAGGAGAAGGGATTGTGGCGTGGCCATCCCCACTGGGGGGTGATTTCTCACTTTCTGTCTCTCTGTCTCTCTCTGTCTCTCTGGAGAGCGCACGCGCCCTATAGTAAAAATCTCTCTCAAAAAAAAAAAAGAAAAAAAAGAAAAGAAAAGCAGACCAAGATCAGGTCAGTGAAGGTCTTTTAGGTCACAGCAAAGGGGTTGACACTGTGGGAAGTCATAGGACAGAACTCACTTGCATGCCATAGAGACCTCTCTGGTGGGCCAGTAGGTGGCGTGGCGGCTAAGGCAGCTGGATCCCTATGATCTCCAATCCAGCAGCTTGAAAAACACATTAGGCATGTGTGTGTGTGTGTGCGCACACGCGTGTGTGTGTATGCCCAAAATCCTGAGAAGGGAGGAGAAGGGATTGTGGAATGGCCATCCCTCCTTCTGGGTGCTTTCTCACATTCCTTCTCGCCGTCTCTCTCTCTCTGGCCAATGCAGGTACCCTATTGAGAATAATAAAATACAATACAATAAAATAAAAAGGCCTCTTTGGCTACTGTAGGAAAAACAGATGTTCTGGGAATTCCTAGAAGTTGAAACTGAGGGGAAAAAAACCCAAAACGAGTATAAGGTGGATTCTTTATGAAAATCCAACTTATTAAATCAGTCGACATATAAAAGATACATTGACCATGATAAAGATGGGAAACTCATGAAATGAGTTTGTGGTTTTACACAATATACCCAGGAGTCACGGAGGGACTTGTGATGCTGATCAGGGAGCGAGGGGATGCGTGGGCAAGTCTCATTTACCTGAATTCTCCCGATTCAGCTTCCGTCCCCAGGTTGGTAAGGGAAGGGTTTCACCCTTCTGCAAGTAATCCGAGCGCTTTTACTAACCTGCTTACCCACCCGCCCCCACAAAAAATAAAAAATTAAAATTAAAAAAAAGGAAAACAAGAAGCCAAGCCCAGAGCTTGTACGCCTGCATTCTCCACAATCATTTCTCTGTATTACAGCTCTTGTCATCTTACATTATACATGAATAACTAATCAACCAAACACAAGCCCACTGATGAAAAAACGCGTGTTGGATCTGGAATGTGAGCAGGGTAAAGAGTAATATTAATCTCACTGGTAAATAACAAAATGGGAGCAAACAGACGGATGTTAAGACAAGAATCGTGCTCCTGAACACTTCTGGGAAAGGAAACTTCCCAACATGCAAGGGAAAGGAGGGAGACCAGAGTGAGGTTGGCTCTATTTGGAGTGTGCGAGCGTCATTCTTTTTCCTTCTGGCATTCACACGCGCCCATGAGGAACGCCATCCAGGGTTGGACCAACTGGGTGTTTACAGCCGCCCCAGCCCCCCGCCGCCTCACCCAGCTGAACACGTCACAAAATATTCCACTATCCCCTAATGGACATGTAGGTGTAAGGCTTAACCCACTAGCCCGTATTGAGGTGGGCCCAAACTACAGGTCTTGCTTTTCAAACTTCACGGTGTCACAGTGTGTAGCACCCTGCTGGGTAAGTGGGAGGTACCCAGGAAATGTTTCCTTCCACAATCCTCCTCAGTGAAGTCTGTCTCTGCTTCATCATGTTCCTGAAAGGCCTTTCTTCTTATTTTTAAAAAAGTTTTATCTGGACAAGCCGATGGTGTAATGGCTACGTCACTGGACTCCCATGTAGTCGACCATGGTTTGAGTCCCAGACCCAGTGGCTTAAACTCCCACCGGGCTCATGTGCATGCGTGCCCAAGATCCTGAGAGGAGAATAGAGGAGAAGGGATTGTCGCATGGCCATCCCCCCTGGGGGGGTGATTTCTCGCTTTCCGTTTCTCTGCCTCTGTCTTTCTGGTGAGCGCACACGCCCTATAGCAAAACCTCTCCCAAAATAAAAATCAGTTGTTATCTATTTCCTTTGTGAGAGAAAAAGAGAAAGAGACATAGGCACCCCAACAGGGTCTTCACACCGTGATCTCTCAGTCTCAGCCAGCCTGGCTTATGGCACTGGGACATGCCCGGAATGCACACGCTTATCCTGGGACATGAGCCCAGGCTGTCGCAGGTGGAGCTAGTTGTGTTACCCTTGCACTGCTGCCTGGGCCCTGAAAAGTCTGTCTTTAGCACTGAGACTAACCTAATCTCTGCTTCCAGTGAATGGCCTAGAAATGCTCTTGTCCCCTCCTCCCCCCAGCCCCTGACTTCCTGACGGCATCTGACACTGCCTTTTGTGACTTGGACTTTCCTGATTCTGTGCTTTCCTCATTCATGGCATGGCCTCTCTTCCCTGACCTACCGTGATTTCTTCTCTTCCTTTTGCACTTGAAAGTACAGATTCTAGAAGGACTCTGTATGTCTCTCTCGTCACTTTTTCTTTATAAGAAATTAATTGCATCTCATTTCAAATCAATGCATGTATCTATCATCGTCTGTCATGTTATATGCACACTACCTGCTTATGGGCCTGTCTGTCCAATTAGACTTCAAGCCCCTCAATGACAGATATCCCGCCGTCTTCCTCTTTGTATCCCCAGTGTCTGGCTGGGAGCAGGGACGGGACAAATGCTCAGGACACGCTGGCCCGATAGACTCTATCCTTTGAACTCTGCTTGGAGGGAGACTGGGTAGAGAATATTGTCTCTATAATATAGACCGGGGAGCCCAAGGCTCACGGAGGGCAAGTGCACATCAAATGCATGACTCCTGGTATTGGCTACAGAGGCTGTCCTCAGTGGAATCATCACTCCGCTATTGCCAACTGTAAAAGGACCGTAAAGCTCATCATGACACTGTCCAAATGCCGACATCCAATCCTTTTCATGCTCTTCTAAACAGGCTTGAATTTGCCAGTGCCTCCCTTAAAATACAGCCTGCAGGACTGAGCATAAAACTGCATGTGGCCTGACCCGCCAGCACGCGCTGGGATTATTGCTTCCCTCCTTCCACACTCTGCTGTGCTATTAATAGAGCCTAAGATTGCATTAGGGTTCTCAACAGCCTCCTCGCGCTGTAGGTTCACATCAAGCTTGTGATCAGCTAACCCCCCCGGGTCTTTCTCATGAACGCCTTCTGTCAGGCCAGGCCTCCCCATCAGCCACTTGGGCAATTGATTTTTCGAATGCTCATGATTATCTGTGACCCAGACTAGTAGATACAAAACCGGGTCTTGCCCTTCTTTCTCATGTGGCATTTGCTGAGGGGATTTTGGGGTCTCAGGGGCCTGGTCAGACCCCACAGGCACTGTCAGCCTCTGTTGGGGGTGGCCCCCTGCACTATCGGACTCACAAAAAAGAGAGGATGGGGACGAAATTAATTTTCTGGTTCGCTTCGAATTAT